TCTGGGGAAGAGGTCCTTGGGCCATTTGGATCATTTCCTCCTCTAGGTTCCCACAAGGTGTAGCCAGCACCTACCACAGATTACAGAGTATCAGTTTCTGTTCCTGGGAATGCCTGCTCCAGCCCCTGTGAGCAGGAGGAAGGACCCAGGTCTGTAAGTGAGCGGCACATGTGCTTAGCCGAACTCACTACACCACAAGCTTCTTAGCGTCCCTGTCATTCGTGGGGTGAGTCAGGTTGGAAGGGTTAGGGGAAGGGCTACAGGTAAGGTGGTGAAGAGACAGGGCTTCTTTGTTTTTGAGCATGTGCCCTAAAATTTGAACACACCTAGTGCAATCTCACAAGTTCCTCTGTCTTATACAAAAAAGGACCAAAGACAGTTTAACCACAAAGACTACAAATAACCTGAACACACTGAAAAAAGTTAAGAGCTGTGGGTAAGAGAGAAATCAGTACACTAACCCTAAATGTTAAGAGCACTGCTGAACTAAGCCTACACATTTTTAGATACATGGGAACCCCCTAGCAGCCCAGTTAAAAATGAAAACTCTGATGAGGAACTTGATTCTTACTAAAGGAAATTTTAAAAAACAACAAATAGCTCCTAAGCCAGGAGAAAACGTTTTGCGGTGCTAAATTTCTCATGTAGGACCTTCCTTAGATGACTTGAAGTTAAAAAGCTGACTTGCTAGAATGTCAACTTCACTGTCACATGAGTTAACTTGAAGGGCTGGATGGACTACAAGACACCTGTATGTCACTGCATGACAATATCACCTATATAACCCCAGGTGTAATCCCAGCTACTCAGACAAGACAGGCAGATTGCAAATTCAAGACCAGACTGGGCAAGTTCTTTTGTCTTGAAATAAAACTAAAAAGGACTAGAGATGTAGCTCAGTGGTAGAGTGCTTGCCTACCTCGTGTGAGGTCCTGGATTCAAGCCCCAGTGTTGCAAAATAAATAAATACACCAATGGTGTGTGATTCTTCAGATTTTTCCCCAAAATGCTAATAACTGGCAAAGATGAGTAATCAGCTCAAAGAAATTCCTATACTAGTGATAGCAAATCTTTTAGAGCTTTCAGTGATCTGATCTGAACAACCCGCTGCACCACCACCATATACTATTGTTTACTTTTGTTTTGGCTTTCTGAGACAGGGTTTCACTATGCAGTTCAGGCTAGCCTTGAACTCACACAGCAATCCTCCTGCCTCAGGCTTCTAAATGTTAGAATTACAGGCATGTGTCACCACACCCAGCTATACTGTTTACCATTTGTACGTGTCTACATGCACAGGTGTTTGAAACTTTATGTAAAAATAAGCTTTTCCCAGAAAGAATTTGCTATGGATAAAGAAAATGTATTATTCACCCTCAAAAAGGAAATTCTGACATGCCATAACATGAACGAACCTTAAAGATGTTACATGGAGCGAAATAAGCCAGTCACAAACGGACAGCTACTATATGATTCTACTTGTATGAGGTAAAGCAGTCAATTCCAGGGGCAGAAAGTAAAATGATTCTTGCTAGGAGGGCTGGGAGTAGTGGGAAAGGGGACATGGGAGCTAGTGTTTAGGTACAGATTCTGAAGATGGATGCTGTTATTTGCACAATAACATGAATGTACTTAACACCGCTGAACTGTACACTTAAAAATAACTGAAACAGTATATTTTACATCTATAAACACAAATTCATCTATATATATAAAAAGTCCTCATCATTCTTGTTCTCCATGTTTCCAACACCTGACACAAACATGTGTCACACACACACACAGCACATAGCACACACATGGCAGAAGAAATGAGGCTGGAGTCCACCAGCCACAAATCATCTTCGCCTGCCCAGATCAGGTAAAATTCGAGTGACGCTGGTACCCGCAGAACTGTTATGACCTCTCCCCCAGCCTGCTGAGGGTGGACTCTGAAGCTCAGTTAAGTTGTCACACCCAACCCTGCCTATTAGAGTCTCAACCTGATGATTATCACCCCACAGTCCTGGCTGAACTACTGAATAGTATTAGCTATTTCAAAATATTAAACAGTTCAGGGGTAGGGCCGGGTGTGGTGATGCATACCTGTAATTTTAGCACTCAGGAGGCTGAGGCAAGAGGATTCCTGAGTTCAAGGCCAACCTAAAATACATACTGAGACTTTGTCCCCCCACCCAAAAAAAAATCAGGGGATACAGGTGTAGTTCAGTGGTAGGGTGTGTGCAAGAGATAGCATTCAAATTGTAGCCCCACCTCCCAAGAAAAAAAGTCAGTTCAAGCATGAAGATGTGACTTTGCTTTGATTTTCAGGGACCACTCTACAGACTCACAGAACACTCGCAACGTTCAAAGATTTGGATAGAATCTGTGACCTGGCACAAAGGGATTACTGCAAAGAAACACTGCACACTTGGGTCCAGGTGCCCAAAGCACTGGCCCGAGTTCCATCAGGTGGCTGTGTCGAACTCTAGGGAGGCCCAGGCTTTGGGCTTCCGAGAGTGCAGCAGCTCTGTCTAATCCAGCTCAGCCTCTGAACTTACTGGGGCAGGGGAAGGGTGGGCCAGGTCAACAAGGGTGCAGGTCGAGGTGCACTTTCTCTTCTGATCTAAAGAACAAGCTTCATCAAGGAAGTCTTTTTTCTTTTTCTTTTTATCGTTTTCTTTTTTTATCAGTACCAGGGATCGAACTCACGACTGCCTGCTTGTAAGGCAGGCGCTTATGCCACTGAGCTAAATCCCTACCCCCTAAGGAAGTCTTTTTTCACAGCCAGGGCCTAGGGCTCCATTTGATGAGGGTTCCAGGCCTAACATTCATGTTCACTTGCAGAACACCCAGCACTGTCTTGGGCCCACAAAGAACTTACAAAGATAGACTGTTCCTTCAACCGCCTCTTGGCCTCTTCGGCCTCTAGAGTCTGCTGTTTCCTCCTGGAAAGACAAGCAAGCACGCCATTCAGAACAGGGGTAGGGGTGTAGGAGGTGGTGGGAGCAATCTGCCTCCTGGGCCAGGTGAGCTCACCTGTGTTCCTCAATCTGCTGCTCCCGCTCTCGATAGCGCCGCTCGCGTTCCTCTTGCTCCTGCCGTTCCTGCTCCATTCGTTCTTGTTCAAATCTGAGCCTGGCATCCAGAGCTTTCTTCCGTTCTTCCTCCTTCCGAAGCTCTTCCTCTTTCTGCAACCCCAAGCACAGAAAGTGTAGGCCCTGAGCCTGAAAGATGACCCCAGTCCCTCCATCTCATCCCTTACCCAGGGCTGGGGAGGTGGCCATTCTAGAAATTTAGATGAGTTCTACACATAGAAGGCCAAAAGGGCTCCCTCTTTCCAGCTAGGGGAGCATGTGGATGGGACACATCACTGAAGCAAGGGATTCAGAGCTACCCTGCTGGGTCAGGAAGGGGGAGCTTTAGCCTCAAGTCCAGGGTCAGGGTCCCACACCTTGGCCTGTTCCCAGAACTGCTCACGGTTAATTCGCTTCATTTCCACAGCAGCATCAGTCTTCTGGTAGGTGGTGCCCTGCAGGGTAAAACAGCCTGGCATGAACATAAAAGAGCAGGCTGGATATCCTAGGATGCCCCAGGCACAAAGATTGAGCACATAAGGGGACTGGAGATCAGACTCAGGGCTGGGCCATGCAGGCAGAGCCCTGGAAGGGCCAGCCTGCCCCAGGCACACACTGACCACAGGTTCAGCATTCTCATCCTCTCGCAGTCGTAGCCGGTGCAGCACAGGGCTGGAGAGGCGCGCCAGCCCATTGGAAAGCCGCTGACCAATGGCACCTGCGTCAATGTCTTCCACGCTGCTGGCATTCACAATCACGTCGACACCCTTCCGCAAGAAGCCAGGCTTTAGGTGACATCTAAATTCCCTCCCATCACCATCCCAGCACACAGCTCTACCTCCAGTTGGTTGTCCTTGCCCCCATGAGCCCAGATCCTGCACACACCTGAAAGAACTCAGCCACCTTAGCCACATGGCTGGCACATGCGCACTTTCGGGCATCAGGGACATCTTCGCCCACCTACAAAGTACCCAGTGAACCAGGGTCAGGAAAGGACTAGAGTGGGCCAACAGCCTAAGGGCCCAGGCTGTCTTCCCAAGGCCTAGTAAAAATTTTCTCCAGTGCTGCCAGCCGCTGGAGAGACTGTCCCACCTAGGGGTGTCACCCCCGCCCTGGAAAGTAGCCGCATACCCAGTTGATGAGCACATATTTTGGCAGAGCAGCCTGGGAGTCCTTGACGCTGCAGAAACCGTACATCACCTTCTGGTTCTCGAAGTGGCCCGAGAGCTCCTGTAAACCCCCTTCTAGGGGAATCAGGAGGGTGTTAAGGTGCTGTCTCCTAAACCCTCATCCCACAAAGGCCTGAAACCCTAAAGAAAGACACTTTGTGGGCTCTGCAGGTATCCCCAGGGGGATTCCAGTCTCTGAGATCTGGAGGTCACAGAGCTTTGTGCTGATGCGGTTAGAAGGGGACAGACCGGATCTAGCTTTGCATGTGAATTCTCCAAGGCCTGATTCAAGATAGGACTGAAGAGGTGTTTGTTCTTCACACATCCTCATTTCTCACTCTTCGCACATTTCATGTCTCACCAGGTGCTAGTGCCCAGCGAGGTAAAATAAAGCTTTCCTTAATAAAGTCTTCCGACGCTAGAGAAAGTAGGACTAATCTGGAGCATGGCTGTTTGGCTCCTCCCTCTCTGGCTGTGTGACTCAGGGACAGATACCTTCCCTCTCTGGGCTTTCTCAGAAGTCAAACAGGAAACAAATCTCCCTCCCTTCCCACTCTGAGGATTGCAGAGATGACAAGAGGGACCACTGCCAGACAAGTGTGGATCTGCTGGATGCAGGCGGGAAAGTGGCTGGGAGCCAGACGGGTGGGGAAGAAAACAACCAGAGGAGGGGGCGGAAAGGAAGACAAAGAATGGCTGGAATTCTTACCTCCTGACGCTGCAAGCTTGAGGTCATCTGAGCCATCCTCATACGTGTATAGCGCCCTGGGGAGAGGGAGGGGTGGCTCACAGAACCAGCAGGACCCAGGCTGCTTGCTGTGAGAGGGTCGAGCACTGAGGAGAAGGCCACCAAGGGGCAGGGGAGGAGATGGGGTGGGGGACAGCTTCTGTTGCTGGCCATGACAACAGGATCATAAACATTTTTAGTTGGAGCCCAGCAGGATGCGTTCTGGAAGCTCCTTAAGCTTGGGTCAGATAGAAAGCAGGAAATAAGGAGCAGAAATTGCTGCCTAGTGGAGCTCTCTGCTCGTCCAGCCCTGGCCTGGCAGCCCACAACCCAGTGGTGCAGCGCGCCGGGAGATGGAGATTCCAAGGCAACGGTTCCTTGGTTACTGTTCCCTGGCTACCACGATACTCATCCCCCATTGGCCAGCACCAGGAATCTACCTGGCGCGTGCCTTGGTACCCGCTGTCCCTCCCCCTATGAGGGAGGAGGAGAGAACCTGGGGTGCTCGCACAGTGCTGGGCATCCCCCTAGTAACCATGGCAACCCAGCAATTGGCACAGGAACCAGCCCACCAGAGCTGCATTCTCCTGGAACACAAAGGGCCCTGGGGACCCGCCCTCAGACTCAATCTCCGCCTCTCAGAAATGGGGATGAGGTCACTGTGGTCACTCCCTCCCAGACACTAGCCTCTAGTGGCTGTGCTCTCCTGGCCTTCCAGCCCCTATGCTGCCTCAGCCCTAGCTGAGGCCTCAGGGAACTGCTGCTCCCTCCTGCAGCCAGAAAGCTAAGCCAGCAGCTTTCCTGCTTTTTCTTCCTGTTCTCCAGCTTTATTATGCCCTGATTCTTTCTAGGCAGCTGCGGCACAGCATCCATTTCACAGAAGGGAATGCAGAGATGTCTCTCATCTGATGCAGGCACAGGTTGAGGACCCACCGGGAGAAGAAGCCTGGGCCAAGGAAGACAGACCTTGTTTCAAGGTTCAGAGGGGCTCAGACCTTTCCCAATTCCCATTTCCCTACTCCAAGGCAGGATGCTAGCTAGGGACTGCAACAGGAGCACAACAGGTGAAGGAAAGAAAGAGACGGGAAGAGGCAAAATGAGACACAGGGGGAGAGGAGGGAGAAAAAGACATGATAGGGTGAGCAGAAAATGAAGGAGGGGGAGGGGAAGGAAGAAGCAGGGAGGAAAAAGTAAAGGAGGGAGGGGAAAAGGAAGGAGGTGAGGAAAGGGACTGGCCTAGCCCCAGGTGGTTGGTGCAAGTTGCCGCAGGCCAAATGGCCCTCTAGCCCCTCCCTGTCTCCCTTCAGAAAGGGACACAGGTGGGCTATGGAGCTGCAGCCCCTAGTCCAACTGTTGCCCCAGCTGCTGCCCTGACAGCTGCTTCCCAGCACAGCTGTCCCACCACCTGTCCCTATGCCCTAACCCACTGCTGGGAACAAAGAACCTCAGATAAGCAGGATGTACCCCTCTCCATTCACAGATGAGAAACTGAGGCAGAGCCCAGGGTTCCTGGTTTCCAGATACTACCGGGGGTATCATGCTTCTCTGGGAGAGCCTATTTGCCTCAGCCTTACCCAGGTTCTCTGAAGTCCCTTCCATTCTACCCACCCACCTCCTCCCAGCCACCTTTTCCTCCTCTGACCACAACCCTTTCCCAACAGAAACCATCCCTAAATTCAAACTTTTCTACCAGCCTTCCTATCTCAGCTCCACCCAGTCTGCCTGTCCTTCCTGACCTCCCTGCTCTAAACCATGCCCCAGGGTCAGAGTGGTGAGTTCCCTTATTCCAAACAGGCTTTTGTAAATGTGGTTCTTTACAGAAGGAAGGTCAGACCTGCAGGATACTAGTGCTGGTTCCCCAGGCAGACTCACCCCGAATCGCTTGTCTCCAGAGCACCTGCCACACCCCATCAGAAATGAGAAGAGGTATTTGGACCTGCGCTGGCCTCTGCTTCTCTAACACCTGGGCCTAGGCAGGTGTCAGCTAAGGAATCCATCCACAGGGAACCAGGATGGGAAGATGGAGACCTTAAATCTACACATCTCACCAGCTTCAATCCCTGGAGACAAGACACTGCCCCGAAGGTAAGCTTTGTGAAGGTGGAGACTTCTTGATGCAGCTTACACAGTGTTCTCTGGATCCTGGGTCTAGCACAGAGCAGAACCACAGGTATTCGGGATGTTGACACAGACTGTTAGAAATCATCTAAGTCCAGAGAAATGGTAACTGGACGGTAGCAGCTCCAGGGAGATCCTTGGGTCAGCTCTGAGTGGGAGGCTGAAGATCCTTCAAGATCATCACATAAGACAGACAGACCTCTGGGGATCCTACACACGACTGTACCAAATCCTCTCTTATTCTCAAGAGCACCAGAGAGGAGCAGAATCTTGCATGTATGGTTGTTCAGTTGAGTTGTATCACAACCAGAAAAATGCTGGCCTTTCTCACTATATAACTTGTATGGTCCATTTCATAGACCTTGCAACCTGGGGTAAGAAATCCCCAATTGCATCCCACCCCCAATGAAAGACAAGATGAGGGAGCACAGCATCAAATCCCCTTATCCCAATCAGCAATTCTACCCAAGACACCTCTCCTTCTGCCTCTAAGTGCAGAATCTGCCTAAGTCTTATGATCACCCAAGAACTCTCGCTCTGTGCTGGGTCTTGAGGAGACTCACGTCTCCTTTTTACAGGATGCAATCCTTGTGCCCTTTTTAAAAAAAGTGCTGTCTGGGCCCTTGGGAATGAACAAATGTGTATATGTGCAAGGGTGCATGTGTGCATCTGTTTCGATGTCCCACACACAACCCAGATGGATATTGACGTACACCTGAGATTAATAACTACCCTTGGCCAATAGATACTACTGGGTGATGGGAGCCCAGACCTCTGCTAAACAGAATATGGGTCGGCAGTGACTGGGTAGCACAGCTTTGGGCTGCCAGAGCTCTGCTCTTGTAGGGTTAGGGGGAAAAGGGCAGATTCTCCACCCCAAAGCCTGGAGAGCAAGAGGTGTTCTGGGGTGGGTTATGCCTTTCCCCACACAGGGCCATATCCCAAAGCCAGCTCCTCCACCAGGCCAAACCGGCCACTTGCCCAGAACTCTTTGCATGATCTCAACCCCCTAGAGGCAGGGTTGGGACAATGGGTGGGCCGCCTGCCTGCTTGTGCTGGGCTTGTGTTGGCCTGTGCTGGCCTCTCCTGTGACTGACCTGCAGGACATGAGAGCTTGTCTCCCGAGTCCATCCCTCCAGGCCTGGCTGCCTGCCAGTGCTGCAGTACCATGGCATGGACGCCTGGCTATCTTGTCCCCTCCTCCAGCGCCCAGGTCAGTATCTCTAACTGGCTACACACCCTGGTTGTGGGTGAGGCCAGCTCAACTGGGGTCCTTTAGACCTACCCTTAGTCTTTCCCGTTTCCTTCAGAAGAGCCTGCTTCCTGCCTGCAGGGGTGGGGGGGGCGCTAGGAACAGAATGGGCACTTGCCCTGGAGAATACTAGGAGAAATGATGAGTCCAGAATGGGGCAGTATAGGCCACGTTGGTTTCCAGGCCACCCTGGGGGCTCCAGCCCCAGAGCACTGGTCCATCCCCTCCCCCCAACTCAGAGACACAACAGCTGGGAGTGCAGCCCGGCTCCTCAGCCATCAGGAGCTAAGTGCCTCTTGTGCTGAGTGAAGGGCTCAGGGACCCAGTGGATCTACTCATCTCTTCGTTCCTCTTTGGGTTCCTTCCATAGTCCCTCCCAGCAGGATCCCCAGACAAGCAGCTGGGTCCACCTGCCCCCCTCCCGCCCCCAATCCCAATTGACTGGTCCATGCCATCCCTTTCAAGTGCGGAAGAGAAGGGTTCATCCTTGCCTCCTAGTCTTCCAAGAACTGTGAGGGGTAAAGCAGTCACTTCTCGGTTCCCCCGTGGCAGTGAACCTCCTTCCATCATACCCGAACCCAGCATGGTGGGGGGGCAACAAAGTCCAAGAAGCCCCCGGTGGGCGGGGCGCCCTGGACCCTGCCTGCTCCGCTCCTCCCCCGCCCTAGCTTTCCTTTGTGTTTTGGCCGGGCCGGGCTGGGCTGGGCAAGGCAGGCTGCGCTGACTCCGCTACCTCGGTCCCCGCCCCGTCTCCGCCCGGTCCTCTACCGCTGGAAGGTGGCGAAGGTGCCCTTGGCCCGCCCGTGTACACCTGTCCCTCGGGCCCGTGGACCGGGGTAGGAAGGGAGGGGGATGGGCTCCAGCAAGGGCCACGCGGCCCGAGGTCACCCATCTGGACCCCGCTTCGAACCAGCCTGCCTGCGGCCACCGCTCCCACCGCGCGCTGGGGCGCCGCGGGGCGCGCGGGCCGGCAGCGCCCCGCCTGGCCCAGGGCGGCCCCTCCCCCGGCGCGCACAAAGGCAGCCCCTCCCCGGCCCTCCCGGCCCCGATGCACCATTTCGGGGTCCCTCCTCCTTCCCAGCTGCTTCAGGGTGGCGGGGCTGGACGGAAACAAAGGCACGGCGGCGGCGCGGGGACAAAGGGGCCGGGGCGGGGGCGGGGGGCTCACCAGTCGGCCGAGCTCTCCTCTCGGATCACCTCCTCGTAAGCCGCCAGCAGCTCCAGGCGGTGGCCGCTGAAGCTGACGCCGGCCATGCTTCGGGCCGGACCGAAGCCGAACGGACAGACGCACGGACGGATGGACTGACGGACGCAGGCGGAAGGGAAAGAGGGAGTCGCCGCCGCCGCCTCCTCAGAGCCTCTGCAGCGCCGCGAGCCGAGCGAGCCAGCGGCCGGGGGAGGGGAGCCGGCCGGCGGGGGGCGGGGGGCGCTGGCTCCGCCCGGCTCGCTCCCTCCGCTCGCTCGGTCCTAGCGCCGCCCCTGCCCAGCCCAGGGGGAGGTCCGCCTCCTCCCGGCCCGCCCTGCCTCCCGGCCTGCCCCGGGGCGCCCCCACGCCCCCCGCCCCGGGCGAGGGCGGCACCCGAAATCCAAATGGCCCTTGGGCTGTGTGGACTGTCCCGCACACGTCCCAAACCCCCGTCTTCCTCGTTCCCATCCCCAACCTAGGCATCTACCTTCTTGCCCAACTCCAACCCCAGCCCGGTCCCCACCTCACCAAGACTGCACACCCTGCCTAGCTCCAGCGACACTATCGCCCCGTGCTCCCCTCTTGCTTAATTTATCTCCATCGCGGCCTCAGCCCACTCTCTGGCCCGTGCCACCCCACATTAAATCCATTTCTATTCCAGCCTTTAGCCCCAACCCAATTCATACATCAGCCTATGCCTGGCTTGCCTGCAGCCGCGTCCTTCCCAAAAGACCCATTTCTTGTCCACACACACACACACACACACACACACAACCGTCACTGTCTATTGCCATGTGCAGCGCAACCCCATATCCAACCCAATTCCTTTCCCACTTCAGCTCCAGCCTGTCCTCAGCCCTATGTTTAGCATCGCAAGCCTCTACCTCTCCTCCACACCCACCCCCAGTTACACCCTCCTCGGCCCTAACCAGTTTAGTCGCATCCTAATCCCAGTTCCTACCCACACCCCGCCACCCCTGTTCCGTGGCCAGCCCAGCCTCAACCCAGATCTCCAGCTCTTCATTCCCAGGCTCTTTTCTCCTGCTCACCTGTGTCCTCCCAGATGAGGCCAGCCTAGGAAGTGCTTTGTTGTGTCTCCCAACCCTCACAACTCCCAGAGGATCCCAAGCATCATCCTGGAAGCAGCATCTAATCTCCCAGGGTGGAACTCCTCCAAGGACACTCCAGGGCCAGCCTCCTGACCCTGGAGCACAAGTTCTGGGTACTGAAAAGGAAGTGGTCACCACTGCCAGGGCCTCGTGGAACTCTCTGTTCCTTTTGGGATTGGAATCCTGAAGCCTTCCACTGTTTTCCACTACTGTAGTGCCTCTCAGCCCACCTTCCATCTTCTAAGAGGTAGGTGACAGAACCTGGGCAAACCTCACCTGGCTCAGTCTAGAAGGGGGAAGCGATATTCTAGCTGGGCCTCTGAGTTCTAAGTTAGTAACTGAGTTAGGTAATCAGCCATGCCAAGGGGAGACCAGTACCTGGAGTAGGGGGACCACTTTTAAACTCAAAACATTTCATGGGGCCCTGCCTCAGGAACTTTCCGTGCTCTCATGTCTGTGGACCCCTAGCCCTGCAGTGTCTCCACCACTCCCACTTAGAAGGAGCCGCAGGCAGTGTCAGCCCCATTGGCTATGTGCTAGACCAAGTCCCTGTGCACTGGATGCAGTGGCCAGTTGGAGATGGAGAAGGGAATGGGTGACCCAGGGTGGGATGAGGAACCAAGGGGAGGACAGAGCTTCACCATGATGCAGGAAGACTTGGAGACCCTGCAGGGAGGGGAGATGCTCCTGGGAAGGGAAGCCAGATGGCATCTCGGGCCTTGGCACCCTCCTCTTCCTTTGACTTGCCCTAGCTCAGAGCTCCTCCCACTCCCTCGTCCCCCACTCCCTCCCCGACCTCCTGCTTGCTCAGTTTCACATCCAAAAAAGCAGAAGCCCTGTGTGTGCATCATCCTCAAAGCTCTCCCTTCCTCAAATTCCTGCTTCCCCACTAGCCACCTACCGACTCATCCCATCCACACCCTCTTTCTTCTCTTGTCATCTGTATTTTTAAGTAAAATTTCTATTTAAGAACAGTTTTAGGGCTGGGTGTAGTTCAGTGGTAGAGCTCTTGCCTACCATGTGTGAGGCCCGGGGTTAGATCCCTAGCACTAGGCGGAGAAGACACAGAGCAGTTCAGGATTTGTAGAAAAACTGCCAAGAAGACATTTCCCATAAAACCCATACCCAGTTCTCCCTGTTTTCAGAGAATCAAGGGGGATCCCTCCTTGTACAACCTAGAGCCCACTGCTAACCCTTGGCCCTTTCACATCATCTCCAGCTTACAATTCGTCAGGATTTTTACAAACACGTCTCGTCTCCCGTCTGTCTTCTGTCTTCCACCCCTCCCCCATGTTCGCTGGCATTGACAGCTCTGGCTAAGGTCTTCCGGGACCCTTTGAAAACTAAACTCAGTGGAGCTACCATAGTCCTCAGTTTCCTGGACTGGGGGAATGGATGGTCACTAGTCAGTCTGTCCTCTGAGAATCTACCTCTTTCCAGCCACCAGATACCTCTGAAATGCACACACCCCAGTCTTGGTAGGTGGCTGGTTGGTGGAAGTCCTCCTACCAGGCCTTCACATCTGCCACGTCCCAGCATTGATCATCCTTCAAGTCACTGACATGACGTTCTTTGCCACCCCCAGAACTCCCCCCACACACTGACAGGCTGGTCCAATGGCTTCGGGGTGCTGGTGTGAAAAAGTTAACAAAGGGAGGATCTGCATCTGGAAATGGGTTCCTTGCTGTGTGACTTTGGCTAAAGTATCTCCCCTCTCTGAGTTTCCCTTTGAGGACCTGTTGTGAGGATAAATTGGACTGTATGGAAGCTTAGAAAATGGGAAACCTCCTCCGGTTCTCCTGGCAACTTTGCCCTCCACCCCCACCTTCAAATTCTGTATTCCCCATGCTTCTCAGAGCTTTGGAAGTGAGGTGGAGGGGAGGCAGGTGGGCCACAGGACTTTCGCAGCATCAGCTGGCGAAGCCTTCTCTATAGCTTCCATACTATTTGTCTCTACAAGAGCCTACCAAGCACACCTTCAAAAGCCCCTCATCAGAGCATAAGGCCTCCCCAGACATCCACCCCTGGTGCAGGGCCCTTTCATTCACATTTGCTCTGCTCCTGACAAGCTTCCTGCCCCGCCCTCATGCTGCTAATGCTGTGACCTCAGACTAGTATGAGGACTTTTCTTTCTCTTTTTTCTTTTCTTTTCTTTCTCTCTTTCTTTCTTTCTTTCTTTCTTTTCTCTTTTTTGCAGAGCTAGGGATGAAATCAAGGCAGATAATCTACCACTGAGCTGCAGCCCCCACCTAGCTAGGAGATTTTTAAAAAGTCTCTAGAAGATGCTTAAATGGTAATGGCACATTGTAGGTGTTCTGGATGTGTTAGCTGCTGTTACTATTTTGTAGTGGGGGAAAATTGAAGTTCAGGGAAGGGCAGTGACTTGCCCAGAGGCACTCAGCTGGTGAGCAGCAAAGTCTACATGTCCGTCCCGTCCCGTGTCACTTCAGCACACCGCACATCCCCCGTTACTTCTGCTAGCACCCGTTTCCACATCCAGGGACAGGCGATTTGGTAAGAAGTAGTTCTGGAGGCTCCAAGCTCTGAGGCTGGTGAAGGAGTCTAAGGCCGGGGTCTCTGGCATGGAGGGTAGAAGTGCAGCCGTCATCTGCGGCCAGACCTGCTGAGCACCTTGCTCCTGTTTGCTCCAGAGGGAGTGTGGGAACCAGGTGGGTCAGATCGGTGATTATTATTGTTAAGGAAAACCATGACTAACCCAAGGCAGCCCAGAGAGTGTCAGCCCTGGGACTTTTACAGGAACATTTAGAAAGGCGCTCTCAGAGGGCGTGGTGGCACTTGTCTGTAATTCTAGCACTCTGGGAGGCTGAGGCAGGATGATCACAAGTTTGAGCCAGCCTGGGTAACTTAGGCACTTAGGAGACTGTGTCTTAAAATAAAAAATAAACAGTGCTACAGTGAAGTTCAGTGCAAAGGCCCTGTGTTCAATCCCCAGTCTTGTGGGGGGGGGTACACAAAAACCTCTCTCTGGCCATTGGGGTTGCTGAGCTGGCAAGATGTGGGCCTAACGTGCTGAGGCCTGTGTCTAGCAATGATGGGGGGATCCCAAGAACAGAGCCAGCACTGAGGAAAACCAAGGTGAGCCCAGGGATGGAGAGTACAAGAGAGTACCTAGATCTGGCCTGATCCAGCCTCACCTTAAGCTGTTAACTATTTCATGTAAATAAATTATCTTTTTTTCCTTTTCTTTTCTTTTCTTTTTTTTTTTTTTTTTTTTGTCTTTTTCCTTTTTATCAGTACCGGGGATCGAACTCATGACTGCCTGCTTGCAGGGCAGGTACTTAGGCTGCTGAGCTAAATCCCCAGCCCCTATCTTTGTTTCTTAAAGTAGTTTAAATTGCAGTGACAGTTCTTCCTAATTTCATCAGTGGCAGGGGACATGGGTAAACCCGAGTTGATCTTCTAGTGCCCCCAACCCTAAGCAAGATGATCTGGTGTGGTTCTGAGGTCCTTTCCGATCCTTCTGAAGTGATCCTCGCTGCAGTGTCCCAAGCATCAGGCTTCCTGAGCTCTCCCCATGCTCCCAGTCGGCAAGCTTCTTGTCTATGACCCCCCAGAATCCTAAAGTCCTCTCCTCCTCGCACTGAGGAGGAGGTTAGAGTTGGCTTTGCATTCAGGCCACCTCCTGCTTCTTGGGTGACCCGTGGTCCGATGCTTTAGCCCTCGGCCTCAGCTCTCTACCCAGAAGGCTGCTAAGGAAGTTAGGGATTGCGTGTGCCTGTGTGTACCGAGGCCATGTGGGACCCAGCGCTGAGGAGGCAGCGACAGCGCCATCCGTTCTGGTGGTTCTGTGAGGCAGTCCCTCACTCTCCACCGCTGCTCTCCCTGCTGA